TTTGAAGGTAAAGACATGGATGTTGAATGTTTAATACATGCCAGAGTGTGATATTGGATTTATAACAAGAAATATGTATTTGGTCTTTGTACCCATTTCTAGCACAGAGTTCCTGGAACCCTTGGAATTTACTACATGCTGAGTGGTAAGGGTGTCTGGATATTGAACCACACCTGAGTTTGTGTTAATGAGGTATCTTCTGGAAAGAACATAAAATGGGGGCTGGTTGGTAGAGGAGCCAGCCATGTGATAGAGGGTTGGAACATCAGCCTTAACCCCCTGCCCTTGGGAAGACGAGGACAAGGGTCTGGAGGTTGACTGTCACCAGTGGCCAATGATTTAGTCAGCCGTGCCTATGTAACAAGGCCTTCATAGAAAACCGAAAGGACAGAGTTCAGAGAGCTTCTGGGTTGGTGAGCACATGGGGTTTTGGGAGGGTGGCGTGTATGCCCAGAGAGGACACGGAAGCTCCACACCCCTTCCCAGGTACCTTGCCCTGTACATCTCTTCCATTGGGCTGTTCCTGAGTTACATTATAACTTTTTATAATAAACTGGTAATCTAGTAAGTAAAATGTTTCATCACATGTTTCTCTGAGTTCTGTGAGCCACTCTAGCACATTAATCAAACCCAAGAACGGGGAAGGGGTCTTTGGAACCTTAAGGCTATAGCCGGTCGCTCAGAAGCACAGCCGACAACCTGGACTTGTGGTTGGTGACTGAAGTAGGGGCGGGGGATATAGGACAGTCTTGTAGGACTGAGCCCTTCACCTTTGGGATCTAATGCTGTCTCCAGGTAGATATGTCAGAATTGAGTTAATTGCTTGATTGTGTGAAGAAATAAAACACACATCAGAATTGGTGTCAGAATTGTGAAAGGACATGGGCAAGTGGTGTCCAGACAGCATCTTGCTTGATAACTGTTGGTGTAAAGCTGATAAATACAGGGATCTTTATCTGTTCTGGTCAGCAATACCGAGCCCCTAGGACAGTGTCTTACAGAGTCTGAAAGAATGTGTTGATGAACCAATAGTTTTGCTTAGTGAATGATGACTGGTCATTTTCTAAGTGCTCCTGCCTCATATCAGTCCTGAACTAGATAGGAACCATTAGGGAACTCTGTGATGGGGAACAGAAAGGGGGAAACCGGAGGAAGGAAGCTTCCTATTACTTAAGCACAGGTGACATTCTTGACAGGTGAGGTTGTAAATTAACCAGTGACATGGGCAGTGTGCGGTTTTTACTTATCTGGGCAGAACTGAAGGTAAGAGGGCCAGCCCTAGGGAAGTGGAGAACCTCTGAATTTTGCCACAGGTATCATCAGACTCCTCACACGTTCAGTCCCTGTTTGGAGAGGCCCCTGTCCTCACTGTGAGCCGGTGCTGGCCGGCCCACGGAACGGAAGGATTCTGAGCACTAGATTGGAAGAGGGAGTTCTCAGAGACGGACCATCAGTTTGCAGAGGGAGGCAGAGCTGCAGGAATCTCTGGCACTGGGTGTCTCTGTTCTATGGCTTATTGTTGGTGAGTGCCCACCTAGAGAACGTGGGCTCTGCAGTGGGATTTGCCAGATGGAAAGCGTGGTATGCTGCAGGTCTTAGCTGTGTGCACTCCTGGGAGGTCAGAGCCCTGACAAACCATGACCCTAGTGCCCCATTCTGGAAGGCAAGCTTTCTTTGCCATCTGTTGATCTGTTTCTGAAAGGGAGCCGGCCACCGGGGAATTTATCTCCTGTTTGCCATACGGTTTTTATACACATGGGAAGCTGGCAGACTGCAGGAATAATTCAGAGGGGTCAATGGCATCATCACACCTATCATGAATTAGAAAAGAGGTGCTTGGGCTTCCCTGGTGGCGCAGTGGTTGGGAGTCCGCCTGCCGATGCAGGGGACACGGGTTCGTGCCCCGGTCCGGGAAGATCCCACATGCCGCGGAGCAGCTGGGCCCGTGAGCTATGGCCACTGAGCCTGCACGTCTGGAGCCTGTGCTCCGCAGTGGGAGAGGCCACAGCAGTGAGAGGCCCGCGTACCACACACAAAAAAGAGGTGCTTTACATACATTAGCTCTGATCTTCCTAAAATCTCTGGAATGTAAGGATTATCATTACTATTCTATGGAATGGGAAACTGAGCTCAGAGGGGTTTATAAAGCTACCCACCAACTTCCAGGAAGTGGAGGATTCAAACTCCTGTCTGTCTGACTCTACGCCCGAGCTCTCTTTCTGACAACCTAATGCAACCTCAGCTGGAGAGCGAGAAGGAGGCTTGAACAGGACCTCACAGAGCTCTCCACCCCGGCTTCCCCAGCTTTGTAGGTAACGAATTGTTCTTTTCTTCCCTTCCAAGTCAAAGAGGCATCTGATAATCAGTTGTGTTGCGCTGAAGTGTTCGAGGTTTCTGAAACCGTCGGAAACCCTGGAGGCCTATCACTAGGAGCTGCCAAAATAGGAGGAGTGCTTCAAGGTCAAGGGCTTCCATTCAGCCATAGCCACTGGACCCAAAGTGTGCATTGCTGGAATACAGATTCTCCAGCCCCTGAAGCTCACAATTTTCTACCACCTTCTTCCTCTGATTTCTGGCGGAAGACTTGGCAATTTTAGGGAATGTGGCTGATTCTGCTGCCGCCTCTTGAGCCAGCATCTTGGATAGGCTGAGCACATCTCCCAGGTCAGGACCGTGGGCTCCGTGAGAGCAGGGACCATATCCACCGAGTGCTCTGCTTTGCATAATGCCTGGCAGCAGTGAGTGAGCATGTCATCAGTACTTCTGAATGAGTGAATGTTCGCAAGTTAAAATGTTCAGAAACTTCTAAAAAATAAACTAATGTTAGTCATACACTTGGCACCAGACCTGTGTTCTTTGGACACCAAGAGAGCCCGCCTCTTTCATGATCAGCAGAGCTTACAGGCACCTGACATAAGTTATGTCTAGAAGGCATTTGTTTCCATATAAAAGAAAAATAATTGTATTATAAAAAATATTGAAAATAGACAAGAGAGATAAAAGAATCACCCATCTAAATTCCACTACCCAGATAAAATCATTTTGGTTTATTACTTGGTCTAAATGAATTATACAGTGATGAGTGACATTTTAAAAAGTATTTAGAGCGAAATATGAAAGTTTTCTCCCTCCCCAGAGATGACTACTGTTACGAACATGGAATATTTGCTCAAACTGTTTAAATGTATGTGTACATTTGCAATTATATATAATGCAGATTGGAACATGCAGAAAAAATTGTTCTGCAGCTTTCTTTTTGTCACCTAATATCCTAAGAACCCCTTCTGTAATGGTAAATAGAAATCTACTGTGTCCTTTTAAACGGCTGCAGAGTATTCCATAGGCTCAGTGTACAATAATTTCCCTGTAATAATGCTTCCGTACTGTTGGGTAATTAACTTGTGTCCAGTTATTCACTGTGACAGCACTACAGGGAACATCCTTATACCTGTATATTTGGATGCTTGAACATAACATGTGACTCTTTCTGTGTAATAAATTCCTAAATTTAGAATTGCTGAGTTCTAATGGTATGTGCCAAATGGTATGTGCAGTTTTAATCAGTCTTACTCTTTAAAAATTATTTTTTAAATTGTATAAGTTTGACATGTAACATTGTGTAAGTTTAAGGCATACAGTGTGTTACTCTGATTCATTTCTAGGTTGTAATATGATCGCCCATGTAGCGATATTTATCATATTACATAATTATAGTACAATGTCATTGTCTAAATTCTAATTAGTGTTACTCTTAACCACAATTTTTTTCCAAGTTATTTTAGGATGTGATCAAAAGGAAAAAACAGATGTAAACAAAAATGTGTGTATAAACATATACATCACAGTTTACAAGGACCGTTACAAGGAATTTTTTTCTAGTCTAAGGGATGTGAATAGTTATTTTCTTAAACAACTGTCTAATTTTTACGTGAAATCTTACAACTATTTGTGTTTTTCTTTGTGTGTAGGCTGCCAGAAGGCTAAGAGTCAAGTTTGTGTCTATCTCTAACAAGTATATAAGCGTGGAGATAGATAAATAGCTAGCTAGCTAGATAATAGCATGGATGAACTTTACTGCTTGATTCATCAGTTGTCCTTTGATCTTGAAAAATAATGTAGTTTTCCACTAGAGATTTTCTCAAAGGGGACATTCTGGGTGTTCTACCCAGCATAGGCCATGGTAAGTTTCCCAGAAATCCTCTAGGACAGTTGCTCAAATGGTTCAGTTGCTTTTATTCAGCTGATGGGTCCTTTCACCTCCGTGCTGCTGTTTCTCTCTGCTTTGTTCCTTTGGACCTGTGCAAGCTCAGGCTTTGGCCACCTCCTGACCTATTACCATCCCTGCAGGGCATCCCCCCTCCCCCGGAAATGGAATTGTCCTCCCTCCCTCCCTTCTTCCCTTTCCTTCCCCCCGCCCCCACC